AGTCCGGGGTTCATTGATTACCAATCTTTTCTTATCTATGAATCACGTAATATTCTTTTTTCTACATGCAAAAAGAGTTTAGTTAGGTTAAGCAAATTTCTGGTGAAATATATATATATATATATATATATATATATATATGAACAGAGGAAAAAGTTTAACAGCAGATTAAAATACACTAACAGATCAAACTGAGTAGCAGAATATTTTATCGTACTCACATAAAAAGTTCAATTATAAATCTCACGCTGATATACATGCTGAAACAGATGGAACTACAATATCTGTGTGATAAGACTACTTTTCTATTCCCTATCAATCAGTTTTAATACAATGTTAATCTCTGTTATGTTTTTATATTTTCTTCTGATAGGGGATAAAAAAACACGATAATCTATGACAAGAAATACTTCAAAATCATTGAAAAAAACTTAACTATTAAATCATATCTTATCATATCAGAAGTCAAATTAGTTCAATATCTCTTTTTATCATTAATTAATCATTATTATTTAAGTCAGTTATTATCAAGTCAGTTAAATTTAAATACCATAATTTTAAATTTCGAAAATATTCACAAGGTGTGGTAATAAAAAAAAATATTGTCTCGCCTTATATAATCTGCCTTGAAAAATTGACCGACTCGATTCGTTTAATTTATTCCGACGCACCAATCCGATAAGTCGAACAATGCAAACGTCCCCTAATATGCACGTTTTAACGTTAATTATAGAAACGACTTGAGCGGCACAGCGGTGACGAAAGATTGATGGTGCCATTGACAGATAATGTCGAGGTCACACTGTGTTAGTCCGATAATACTTTTCGTCTTCCTTCACGTTTTATCTTTTCTCACTGTTGTCTCGCTTGTATAGATTTAACTCTTTTTCTCAGATTCGTGTGTATTGAAGATTCTTAGACTTTAAACTCTGACACTTGCCAAGATCGTAAATTTCAAGATCGCTTGAAAATATCATCTTGCTTGAATCAGCTCACGACGTTTCGAAATGTTTCAAATATTAAAATCAATAGGATCGAATTATCACAATAATATTATCAAGAGAAATAAAGAATTTATGAGAAATAAAGAAGGACGAGAACTCTTTCGCACGCAACGCATCTCGAGTTGCCAATTTACGACAGTATCTTTCGAACAGTATATACTTGATGCAATACTATACTTTATGTAACTTTGTGACATTCAATTGTATACTACGTAACATTGTAAGAAACATCTCCTTGAGAAAAATGAGTGACGAGAAGTACGCGATTTTGTAATAAAAAATAATTTCAACTGCAGTAAACAAGTAACAAGTGTGTCGTAAAGTGATACAAAGTTATCGGTAATATGATCGATTCACGAGTCAAGTGATATCAGGAGCAAACTTTGAGCTAAGAATAATCGAAAATGAGATACCGTATTGTTCGGACGTATAGTTAATTAAACGATAAATCGCCCTTCTGAGATTTTTGCGAGATAAATCGCGAGATGATATAACGTAACGTTAAACGTTAAGAAAGCGGGAAACGGAGTATATTACTCTAATAAACAAAGAACATTAGATCAACATCTTGAAATATTGATTTTACGCCTGTCTCTTGAATATTTTCGTTCAATATTTCAAAAACATTTCAAAGATATTGCCGGACGATAATACGATCCTTTTGAATATTACAAAAATGTTTTAGAAATATTCGAATGTGTCAAAGTTATCCGTAATAATGTTGATATAAAGTTAAAAACTACATATTAGAAAAAACGTTACATATTAGTAAATATCGTTGCAGTAACGTCCTATTAATGATTTTTTGCTTACTCGGATGTTTATTATCCGACATGTACTTTCGGTTGCGCCACGATATAATTTGAAAAATTCCAATTAGCGCTTTTCTATACTAAGCTGCCAAATTATTCGACGTTCTTTCTTTGATACCCGCACAATTTCATATCTGTCAAAACGAGTCTCTACCTGTCGCTCATTTATCTTCGTAGACATCCTGTGAATCCTTCTTCGGTTTTCATCTTTGGTGTGCTATTTATTCTCGTGGCCCGGCATTGTGCATATACTCGTGATTGCCTCACGCGGGCAAAGTATCCACTCTGTTTCAAATAGAATAAATAGAAGACTGTCGTGATTTCCTTATATCCTGCCAACAGGAAGCATCGAAGCGATTGAGAACTCATTGAAAACGCAAGTCTCGCTTCGCACGCGAGGACACGCTGCGTCGAGCTGACTGCGCTTCCGCAAATTAACAAAGAGATCTCACGCTTTCGGCGCTTTGGGTCGTTAAAACAATATATATGTGTTATAATTAACCATATGTACCTTGATCGAAAGGCATAATTCGAGATAGCGACCGAACGATAGTTCGTTCAATGCCAATGTGCCAAGCAAAGTCCAATGATACTATCTGATAAGAAGAATGATCAGCAGACTGTGAATCATTACAACCCATTATTGGATAAACAAATACGTGCGTGTACCATTGTGCACGTCCGTGTATATATCTCGTGTGTGTGTGTGTGTATGTGTGTGTGTATGTGTGTGCATGCAATGTGCACGATGACGCTAAAGGTATACAGTAACGTGTAAGAAAAATCGTACAAAGTCTTAAGCGATATTGACAGCTGCTGGATTATTCTTCGCGTAAAAAGATCCTTAAAGATCTGTTATTTTTGAAAAGAAATATTGAATATGTAAAATTGACTCGAATGAGTCTTTTGAGAGTTACGTAATTTATGTGCTTTACGTATTATATTCATGGAGAGAATATTATTTTATACATATATAGTTTATATATATATATATATATATATATATATATATATATATATGAGGAAAATACTGAATCTCTCGAATGTATCTAATCCTATATGAAAAAAAAAAAACGGTACGTTTAGCTCTCACATAAAGCTGGTTGTGCCTGATCTGATTTAATATTGAATCTGGTTGACACAAATAAATTTATATATGAGCCAACCATACATTCTTATTGTGTTTTGTTCTTTAAAGATGAATATTTAAACTTCCAACATAAAATATATTCACTATATAGAGGAAAGTAGCCAAAAGTGACATAGGCTTCCTAAAGCGACACACCTCTATATCTCATATATAAAATATTGTATTTTATCGAAACTATTATAAACGTAATTCGTTTTACCAGTAAAGTCATGAAAAAGTCATACTTGGTATATTTCTTGTTCTTTTATATGTTAAATTAGCAAATATTAAGTTTTAGAAATTCACAAGTTTTATTTCTATGATTTTTATTGGCGAATTACGTAGATTAAACATCGATAATTATCTTTTTGTCCAATATTAAGTTCTTCTAGATGCATTTAGCTTTTGTACAAATATTTTTTGAATATTTTAATTTTTATCACTTTTTTACTGTGTAACTTGAAAAATTTTATGAGAATGTATTTTAAAGTGACATACCTATAGTATGCAATAGCTACGATAGTCTGTGACTAACATAACCTGATTCTAATCTCACATTGTGAAGTGACATGTGTTGTATATGAACTTACTCTGCTGCAATAATGTAAATGTAAATCATTTTCAATAATTATTTGTAATTATATACATCAGTGAACACTAACTAACATAAATATTCCTTTTAAATAAAATGAATATTATTCAATCATTAAATGCAATAACGAACTATTTATTATCAAATATTATCATATATGCAACATGTTATATAACTTCCAATAGATATGTCGCTTTTGGCACCCATTTTCTTTGAACTCTATTTTCGTGCGTTTTATAAAAACATTTTTTGTTTTAAGTCTAGAAACAATTTCAGTAAAAATGTGATATTATCTGATAGAGGATACTTCCAACTACATGTATATATATTTACATTTATATTTTGAGCTTTACATTAACAATTATCTTTTTCATTTGTTTCTTAAATAAAGACTTAATTTTTGCAAAAAAATGTGGGTTTAAAGTTATAGACCTAATATATATATATATTGTTGAATGTTTAAATATCCCTATTTAAAGACCAAAATAATAAAAATGTCCAAGATTACGTGTACTGGCATTGGTACTTTTAGCTTAAATTCTTTTTATTTTATTTTTCTATGTTTTTCGTAGTATAGCATCAGTTTTTCGTAGTATAAACTATCAGTAACGTCTATCTCGTTAGGGACGTGGTAAACTTTACCAAGAATAGCAAAGTTTTAATAATATATTTCAATCCTTTCCAAATATTTCCAAATATAAATACATATGGAATGAAAGGATAATGGAAAAGAAAAGGCACATATGGAATAAAAGGATAATAAATTATTGCAGAATGTTAGTCTATTCCTCGGTTACAAATTTCCCTAGCAATCTCTAATAAAATTCTCTCTATGTAACATATATATTAGCTAACTTTAGCTCACGATTTTACAGGCATTGATAATTTTCTTGATACCGTGACGTTTTCTTTTTCAGAGAAGCCAAATCTTTACTATAACACCGATGACGAGATTTTGATGACCTTTTTACGACCGTGCAAATTTTACCCAAAAAGTGCACTGGATCTTATGCAGCGAATCGCGGAGTTCAAAGAGAAGAATGCGGCTTTATTGCATAACCCGCTGCCGAGCAGCGAGCAGGATGCTCTCTTAAACAACAATATTATAAATGTTCTAACTACCAGAGATCATAAGAATCGCAGAATTCTGCTGGTGCATTCTGGCAAACTCTGGGACCCGTCCAAAGTCACGTCCGATCAGATGTTTCGGCTCTTCTATATCATCCATACATTAGCTGTGCTAGAACCGGAGACACAGGTTGTTATCAATTGGATTAATGTCGCAGCGTTACGTTGTAAAAGGTGGTTTGAGACCGTCCGACTGGCGATGTCGTATTCAGATTTATCGTAAAACAGATCAAAAGAAAGAGAGAATTTATAGTGTAGTAAAATTTATATTAACATTCGAGATAAATATGCAAAAGAAAATAGCAATCATTTGTTACGCAAAAAGATCCTTGCGGAGCTATGCTATTTTTGCGGAAAAAAATGTTGAATACGTAAAATTATACGAACGAAAAGTTTTTTTTTTAGTACGACGTAATACATGTTATGGCACATTTTTTTTAAGTACAACGTGATATATGTTATGGCGGAGATGATATAATTTTATAGTAAAACATAGCTTTTCTTTTTACATAAGTACTAATTCAGACACATATAAGGGAGAGTGGGGCAAATAGGGATGAATTTTTTTCTCCCTCGTGTAAGCTATTTTCAAGTTGTTGAGATCGAACATTTTATTAAAACAATACTTTCCACCTTCAATTATACGAAAAACTTAAGTACAAGACTCGTAAGTCATATGGAATAACAAAATTTTTATAGAAACTAAAATCTGAATTCTGTCATTATTTGCCTCAGCGTGGCACAAATAGACAAAAAACAATCATGAAAAACTCTTGAACTTCCATTCAGTCTCTCTTTTGACGATGTGTGACTAACTAAAAATTGAAATATAATTTCTTTACTGCCATATGTAAGAATTTTATTAAAACAAATGATGTATAAAATCTAATTTTGGTGAAATAATATGACGCGCTTTTAAAAAGTGATTTTTCAAATTACTTATTAATATTTTCTGTATTTAAACCTAATTTAATAGCATTTAAGTTACACTCAACAAAATAAATGGGAAGAAATGCAATTCAACTAACACTGAATAAGTCAAGTAACATTATTTAAAATTTGTCACTCTTTGCCCCAGGAGTTACCCTTTCTTTTAAGACACTTAAAACAATAAACAAATTGATATATAGATATAGAGGTTAAGTCACACTAGAAGAAACACATATCGTACAACGCTGAACAAGTAAAATATCATTTAGGGGTTCGAGAGTCAAAACAATCTAAGTAGAAATACCCGAATAAAATTCAGGTTTTACCTTGTTTCATAAGTCAAAATTTTAGTCTTCTTTATTAGCTATGTTTGACTTAGCAGTTTAATTGTTTTTTTCAAAGATGATTAGATGTTTGAGAATTTACTCGCTATTGACGGTGATAATAGCACGCGGGAAATACAGGAGAAATTTAAACTGTCACTATTTGCTCCCCTCTCCCTTACTTATGAAAAATGATCTAAGTACAATATTCTTTAAATTAGAGGAATCTCATCTTTTATCTACAAATCTTGTTTATTGCGTATCACATAATGCGTATAAAACGATATCTTGTTTCACGCAAACGTATCCCTCTTGATTCAAAAGGAAAAAAGTTAGAATAATATATAATAGATTTTCAATTAATTAATTTCCCACTTCATTAGAAGAAGAATACTCTTTCGTCTTTTGCTTAGAATATGGAATTACAGAAAATGGCAATTATATTTCTTTTTTGATGGGGAAAATATTCTCTGTTACATTTTAATTCGAACAAGGCGTTCTTTTCTATTCATCCAAGTTTCCTTTCTTTAAATTCGTGAATACACAGATAACAAAATCGTAAAGTTTGCTATGTGCACCGGTAGTTAGGTAGGAACAACGATGTGTTGTAAACAATCATACGGTTATAATTTACAATCAACGCAGTTCAATTAGCTTGATTGCATAAAATAAATATTGCCGGAAAAGACGAATGCTAGACGAGCGATGCAATTACTCGTATATCTGCAAGAGGGATGCTAAAAATTTTCCGTTGAATATGATAAAACAAAGCAATACATATTTACATAAGTTCTGTTTGTACAAGAAATGTGAAAAGGATAGCGTGATTGTATTACTGTTAACTTTTAATTATAGTTTTTCAAATCATATCTTTACGACTATTTTCTCTCTGTTTTCTTTCACAGATATACGGTTGTGTAGTGATAATGGATTTTGACGGGCTTTCGATGAAGCAGGTGATGGGTCTATCGCCATCTTTCAGCATGAGACTCCTCTCTTTCATTCAAGACGCGATGCCACTGCGTCTGAAGGAGGTTCGTGTAAAGTTTACATCTAAAGTCTACACCACGTCTTGTTAGTTGAATCAAACGTTGGTGGAATAGAATATCGCGTAATTGTATTCGTAAACGTGAGTAAGCGCTTTTTCATTTGATTGGATAATTATCTGACGTGCAATTATCCATCAGGTTCACTTCGTGAAGCAACCGTTCCTTTTCAACATGGTGTGGCAAATGTTCAAGCCGTTCGTCAAAGAGAAGCTAAAGAAACGTATGTTCTTCCACGGTACCAAAATGTCTTCTCTTCATAGTCACATCCCTCCAAGCCACTTGCCGAAAAATTATGGCGGTGAATTGCCGGAGATTAATTATACTAGCGCCGACTGGTACCCGGTAGCACTCAATTTCGAGCATAAGATGCAAGGTGAGCTAAGTCGATAAACATTATCACTATGATTCGTTAATGACACATCCGCACTGAGAAAAAAGTGTTCCATATTTGTGACTATAATTACATAGTGAAAGAATTATAATCAGGAGGATTATTTTTATGGTAACTGTTGTTATAGTACTAAAAAGTAAACTTACGTTTATATTATTATCGGCACCGTTTGTTAGAAATTTAATACTAAATATCGCAATTTTTTACATATATAACCTTACGGTACAAGCAATATAAATAACCATTATTTCAGTGTAATTTCGTAAAAAGTGATACCATCCAAATAGAAAAACTTATTGTTATAAATGTTAAATATTAGGAAACGCAACATAAAAGAAAGAATAGAATTTACTACACCGTTTTTGTGTAATGATCGATTGTAAATAAGAAAATTGCTGCTTCATGCTTTGAGTAGGACTGTATCGAGTGAAATATGGCAGATAATATCAAGAAATTAATTTCAAATTGACATTTATTGTTTAAATAATGAAATAAATATATAAAAACGTAATTCTATTCGATAAATAGTGAATTTATGAGTAGTTGCCTTGGTGTACCAATGAAAATATGCCTCTCGGGCGGCTTAAACATATATATGTATTGAATAAACTCCTTAAATGCTGATAAGGAATCAATGCTGTGTTGTATCAATGCCGATTATCTTGGCATTGGATAACTGGCGCACTTTTATAAAATATAAGCAGAAAATACGCTGATTGCAAAAATTGTTTTCTAAAAATCAAGCTAGACAGATATGTATGCGCAGACTATGCGCAAGTAAGCATTTGCATCATTTAACGATGTTTATATTTGAATTTTTAATACTTCTGCTATGAATATGTGCTTGAAGTTATGCGGAAATCATCGATTGAATGTATAATAAACTCCGGTGTCTAATGAATAGAGTGATTGAACTTTGAACTTTCGTATATGTTATCACGCGGCAATCGGCCGCCTATTCTTGCAACATTTGATATAACTTTGTATTAAACACTTAATGATAAAACGTTTCTTTCTAGAATGGAGTACATTCGGATTTCGCCAGAAATAATAGTTCACCGTTTACGTCGTCATCATCATTGTGATGCTACAGTGATGTTAAATATTAGTTTTCGCAATTCGCCAGAGAGTGAATTTCGGACGTCAAAGGAATATACACGTTGTACTACATAATATAATAATATATAATGCAATATGCATTTATGTACATAACGTATATTATGATATTGTATGTATTAAATATATATTTTTGATAACCGAACTTATATATTTGAATAATTTCGACACTCTGATAAGCACACGACACTTTAATAGAAAAAGCATTATCGTGAAGAAATTAGATTAAAATTGCATATGCTGTATAAAAAATGACACATTAAATTTAGCATATTTGGAGTGTCGTAAGAGGATATCATCGACTGAATGCTTGTCAATGTACACTTCGATAGTTAGTTGTAGCAGCATTGAATAGTTATTTGAGACAAACACTTTTGCGACAAATATCATTACTGAAATCAAGTTGAAAACATATTTTTCTCATGCGCTATATATTACTACTTTTGATGATATTAAAAATTTGAAATTACTGAAATTTACTAATAATTTATAAATAATTCTTGTATTACTACGTCAATAATTATAAGGCAATTTTAGCGTGCAACAATTGCACGCTAAAATAATATGTTTTACACGGGACCAATCGTTACGTTTACGTGGAATTTTTGTGTAGAAACTTCATCGTGTAGGAAGTACACGTACATTCGTGTAAATTAATATTCGTATTATATAAACAATGTTACCAGCTTCCGGCTCGAACGGGCAGCCTGCGAATTAAAATTGGAAAATACCATGATAGTCTAGACCTCTATCAATATTCAATCGTTTATATACACGAATGCTGTAGTCGAATTGAAAGTTCGAAGTTTCATACGATCATTTACGTCATATCGGTTAACTTAAAAGTTCATCTTGCTATAATAAATTCAACGTTAAAACGAATGATAACATTTATATATATATATATATATATATTTTATCATTCGTTTTAACATTAAATTTATTATATCAAGACGAACTTTTAAGTTAATCGACATGACGTAAATTATATATATACAATATATAAGACCTTTTTCAGCGTGTACTTATCGTTGAAATCAATAGGCACAACTGTACGTATAGTACCATAAATTGGAAATTACTTGACAGTTTTACCGACAACTTTTCCTGCCTTTCATCAATATCGTTATCGATAATTGCATTAAATCTTGTTTGCGATGAAAGTAGCTTACACATCTAAGCATTTTCAATTACCTTTGATCTTGTAGAGTATTCCAAACCTTGAGCGAGAAAGAGAGATTTCTTTTAATTAAATTATTTTAGCAGGTTGCGTTTTTGTGCAACCGGCGTACCTATCTTTAAGTCGAGTATTTTGTATTGAGTATTTATATGTAAATTATAATACTCTATGTTTAGATAATGTAAAGTATATATGAGATGACATTTGTGTAGACTAATAAGTAATTTATGAATATGAATATATGATTTGTTAAAAAATTCAAAAAGATTTATATTTTTGTTTAAATTGTAGAATTTTATGATGTGAATTTATACACGTTGTTTTCTAAACAAGTTAGTATTCGTAGAATCTTCTAGTTATATTCTTACACACAAAGAGTTAAACCTATCAAAATGTCATATGATGAAATGAAAATTTCACACATAATTTTTTACTTATTTTAAATATTACATTTATAATTAATATTCAAAACAAATACTGTAGTCCTGTATAATTTAATTATACAGGGTTATAATTTAATTGATCTTTTTTATATATTTAAATATAATTTACAATATTCTATGAGAAAGAGAATATAATTTACAATATTCTATCAGAACTTTCATTGTCTACGTTGTAAAAAACTATGTACATACAACATATAAGACATACAAGACTATGTACATACGTGGATAAACAATCTGCATATACATAATCTTGAAATCTACGACGCAGTTATGCTTGCAATAAGAATTCGAAATTTTACAAAGTTTGATGTGAGAAACTTTTGAAACTGTTACATCTTTATCGCAATTATATAATCTATAACGTCGCATAATGGACATTACTGTTTCTGTAAATACGATTGCAAACGTTATGTTCGGAAGTAAGTGGAAATGTCGCAGTATTCGATCTATATTACACTATTCTTTTAAGGCTACACTTTATCGATGACTCAGCGAATCATTCTCGATATATATATATGTGTTGCTTAACCCTTCCAGTCTCGGACATTTTCGCCAGCTAACACGATTTTCACCGCATCATTCGCGGCGCGAACTTCTTCGAGTTAAGAGAAAAAAACGGACTGGTAATTTATTTATCCGCGATTCATTAATCGCGTACCGTACTTGCCTATCGATATATTATTGATGCAGTGAGAATCGTCGTTGAAATTCCCAAAAATGTGACACGCATTGATACATTACATTGTCACGAAAATTGTTTGTAAACAACTGGAAGTGCGCGACTTTGAGATCCTGACGATTTTCGTACCTCTGCGTAACTATTAAACTAATCTTGATGAACATTCGTATCGTACGCTTTTGATAAAATCGTGTTATTCTAATTTATTTTAATTACGTCTCTCTTACACGTACGTGCGTTTATAGTGAGATAGTTTCTATTTATTCAATACATAAATTGTGATTTAACATATTTTCACTACTTCGTATCACGTATGTGTGATACAACGTGTGATCTTTCTTATGAAAGACCAATATCACATATGTATTAGAACTGTGATTTTTCTTTCAATGTCCACATAAATAAACTGAGTTCACACAATTATGTATAAAAAAAATGTAGGACGGTCTTTGGGCAGGGTTTCCCAAAGGATCCGTGAAGAGAACGTGTTAACTTCCTCTCTGTATAAACATATTTTTACTTTATTCTTTTTTTAACTTTATTTTTTCGCTTTAGAAATTGAGTTATGTACGATTCGTCGCGTATTGGAAAGTATGAGAAAGTGCAGTTTAAGAGTGAAGCTTCGGCGATTATCATTGGATGTTGCGTTTACGAACCTTTTCTTGCAATTGTAAATTTTCCATTTAATGAAGCACATTAAATTAATCCTTTATTGTCACAAAGCAACATTAAAGTTTTCTGATCAGTAAATATTCTAAACCGGTTTTAATTCGTATTGGTTTTTTCTGCTAAATCTCAATTATATATTTAAATCTGAGGAAAATTACAGTACATTTACATATATCTCGAAAAAAAGAAATATAGCATACTATAAGAAATATTTATCAATTTTTCATCACGATTTTTTGTTCAAATGTTGATGCAAATGTATCGAGATAATTGTGATATAATGATTTTAAGTGGCGCAACGTGGTAATCCACGTAGTGATTTTTCTCGGCACATAACATAGATAACGAAGGATTTTATATTCCAGAGAAATATTTAACCACGTTGCAATTATAATTGTTATACAACTTTATCCGTATCACTCATAATTACTCACGAGAATCTTACATTCGAGCACAGGTGTTCTGTCGCCCGAGTAGTGAAATCTCGACGGAGATACAAATCTACGAATGTGAAGTTACTTTGTGTAGATTATTGTACAGATTATCGGTGATTTCTTGATCTGATTTCAAAATTAGAACTATTAAAACTTACGCCGGCTTTTGTTATACCGTACAAAAGTGCTGTGATTTGTGCAAATATCGTGAATCGTTTCCTCTCATATTGACTCATCCTGGCGATGCCCGTTTGGCACTGTTTGACAGATACCAGGTGCATTGCAATTGAATGGACACAATGTCTTCATTGACAACCATTACGGATGATAATATGGATACACTCGAATCATACGATTATAAAAAAATAATAGAATACATAAAAGAACGGTTGAATACCGCACCGAAGGTCTCACTGAGCGGCTATACAACAAACTTAGAAATATTCGACTTAAAAGACAGTGATGACTGTGATCTTTTCGTACAGATAGCCAAGGAGGATCTGCGCGAAACGCCAGAAACAGTTGCTCAGAGCATCAAGGAGTTGAAGGAATTGCTTGCAGGTATTAAACGAAATTCGTTTTTCACAGTACGAGCGTAAGACAATTCATGCGCTTTTATCTCGGTACGAATTAAAAAAAAAGCTTCAAATGTTCAGCGAAATTTGCCATTGGTTTTTTAGCATGAAATATCAGGAACTCATTATTCAATTTTCTACTTATCACCTTTCTGCTGTTCTTTATATATTAGTAGACGGCTAATTTTTATGCGATTAATTTTTACACGAAACAGGTTTTTACGCGCGCGAATACGCATGCACGCACACACATATAGATTATCCGTTTTCACAGTAGGGTTTTTTTTCTTAGATTAGTCATTGTCTTCTTCGTTTATTTCACTTAAAAATCTATTTTACGTAAAAATAGCCGCAAAAAAACAATATATAAAAAACGCAGAAAGGCAACAAGTAAAAAATCGGATATATATATACAGGGCGGCCTAAGTGTTACAAGCTAATAACTCTAAACATATTTGTCCTATCAAAAAATTGTTTGAGAAAGTCCCCCCTTGAAGAGGGACGGGGGGTAACTTCAAAGTTTCAAATGGGGTCCCCTATACAATATTACATATTTGGATTCTACAAACAAGTAAAAAACAAGTAAACTTTGTCTGAAACATTTCTTTGGAAAATGCTCCTATCAAAAGTTATAAACATTTAAACTTTAATGTAGAATGTATTAAAATTAATGATAAATTAAATAAGACTCATAGTTTTTCTGTTTTGTTTTATTTTATTAAATATTCGAACTGTTGACTATTAACATCTAAACACTTATTAATTTTTTTTACAAAACTTTGCCTAAGATGCCTTGTCACTAAGGTGACCCGAGAAATATTGTTTAGAGTTAGGCAAAGTTTTGTAAAAAGAATTAATAAATGTTTAGATGTTAATAGTCAACAGTTCGAATATTTAATAAAATAAAACAAAACAGAAAAACTATGAGTCTTATTTAATTTATCATTAATTTCAATGCACTCTACATTAAAGTTTAAATGTTTATAACTTCTGATAGGAGCATTTTCCAAAGAAATGTTTCAGACAAAGTTTACTTGCTTTTTCCTATAGAATCAAAATATATAACATTGTACAGGAGGCCCCATTTGAAATTTTAAAGTTACCCCCCGCCTCTTTTCAAGGACGGAAGTAGATTTTTGTTTATGTAGTTAGAAAGGCTCCTCGAATATATGAAACTTTCTCATGAACAACTTTTTGATAGGACAAATATGTTTAGAGTTATTAGCTTGTAACACTTTACGTGGGCCACCCTGTATATATACAGTGTATCCCATAAGTTCGGCAACGGCAAGAAAACTCAGCGGGGGAGCATTTTAGAGAAAAATGTTTCGAACAAAAGTTGTAAGGCTTAAAAAGTCGCATTTAATGACAGTAGTTATTTGACCTAAGATGACGTCGCCAAGGTTAGGACAAGATCAACTTTGCTTTTTTAAATAGAAATACATATTTTTTATTACTGG